TCCTGGTTAATTACAGAGCCCCAGGAGAAGGTCTGCTCAAGCGCTCCCCTTTCCCCCATCAGAGCAGATCCCAGATGTGGACAGGCCAAAATCCCCAGCCCCCTAGCCCCCTGACTTGGGACAACTGAGCTCACCCAGTCCAGCCTCACTCCTGTCCATCATCCAACCCCTATCACAGCCCCAAGACGCTCCATCTGGGGAGGACCTCTGGGCAGCCAAGGCACCCCAACCCTGCCTGTGCATATCACATCCTCCTCTGTCCTATCACCATCCCTGTCCTAGCCCCACTTTGGTCTCCACCATGCACTTGGCCATTCAGGACAAGTCTGTCCCACTTGCCATCCAGCCTTGGGGGCAGACACATTCCTGTTCCCCAAAGTTCAGCCAAGATGGGGCTTGGGAACTGGGAAAGAAATTGGGCTGAATGCCCTGTGAGTGATGCCAAGCATGCCAATCTGTTACTAGACTTGAGTTACACTCGGCTAAAACATCCTCCCTCTGAAGGCCTGTCATTTCCTTGGTGGTCACAATTTTCTTTCTCTTCATTCTCCTTGAAAAAGCCAAGCGTTTTTGTCCTCTGGGGGAAGCAGGGTGTGTAAGGACCTGAGCACTCTGCTTCCACTGGATTCCCTGCCACTATCCCTCCTCTGCCTCCTACAGCTGAACATCCTCAAGTCAAGTCCTCCCCTGGGCTGTCCCCTCCCCATTGCAACTCTGATGCTTATTTTGGGCCTCAGATGCCTATTTTTCTCCCATAGCAATGTCCAGGCCTAGCCGGGAGCCCAGGCCCCTAGTATCCTGCCTACATGTGCCCCTGTCTAAGCTAAGATCTATCTTCCCATAATGGACATCAAAGCTTGATGAGGAAGAGGGGAATAAGTTCAGAACAGATGACTTGATACCCAAGTCTTCTTAAAAATTAGAGACTAAGCCATGAACTTAGCAAGAAGGGTGAGAGAGAGACTTCATGCAGAACTTCCTGATGGTGGGACATCTGGGGAAGGCTGGATCTGCTCAGAAACGAAGGGGAGGGTGTGGAGAGGGGAATAAGATGGTCCTCAGTGGGAGGAGGGCATAAAACCCACAGGGCAAGGTCAGGGGATTTCTGTTTAAAGGAGAAAGGGATACAAAAACTTTTTTAAAAATCCTGAGTATGTTCCCTCAAAAAATTCCTTCTCCAAAGTCAACCAGGCTTGGGGAGGTAGTGACAGGGAATTAGACATCGGGCAGATGTGAGTATGGGGCATAGAAGTCTCCTGAAAGTAGGGGCTCCTACACCAAATAGAAAAGGTTGCTAAATAAAAATCCTGAACACCCCCCCTCCAAAAAAAAGTCCTCCCCAAAGCCAAACTCCACCATGGGCTTGGGGGGTGGGGTGGAGGTGGGTGACTCACCTGGGCCGGCTGGCCAGCCCCGGAGGGGGCGGAGTCGCCATGGAGGTGGGAGCAGAGGGAGCTGAGGAGGCACACGGGGTCCACGGTCCAGCCGCCAACCTGTGTGTGCGAAGCGGGGGACACCCCATTAGGGGAAGCGGGCAGGAGCCGCTGGGGTACTGTGACTGGGAGGGAAGGGCATTCCTGGGGTAAGCCTTGGCACAGAGCTCATACTGCAGAGGGGTCTAGCGACGCTGGCAAGTCCTTTCCTTAGGTTGGGTATCTCTCTAACTAGAGCCCTGCTCTGTTTCTGGATATCTGCCTTTTCTGTTAGACCCGGGGGTTCCCTGAGCCCAGGGCAGGGCCTTCCCTATCAGACATTCCTGAAATCCTCATCTCCACTTTATTTTTTTTGAGACAGGTTCTCACTCAGTCTCCCAGGCTGGAGTGCAGTGGCACGATCACGGCTCACTGCAGGCTTAACCTCCTGGGCTCAAGTGATCCTCCCACCTCAGCCTCCTGAGTAGCAAGGACTACAGGGACGAACCACCATGCCCAGCTAATTAAAAAATATATATATATTTTTAAGAGACAGCCATGTTGCTTAGGCTGGTCTCAAACTCCTGGGCTTAAGCAATCCACCTGCTTCAGCCTCCCAAAGTGCTGGAATTACAGGCATGAGCCACTGTGCCTGGCCTCGTGTCCAATTCTTGGATGCCCCTCTGCACACTGGCAAGGAAGCTGCTCCTTACCATCTCCCCTTCCCCAGCTCTCGTCCCCTCATCACTGAAGGTGTCACACCTACCTCACAGAAATAGGAACCGCTGGGCAGGAGAAGCCTTCCCCCAGTTGTTTCTATCCCACAGCATATCTTTCTTTTCTGTATCTTAGTGGAAGTGACTCCACCCGCTTCGTTCCCCAAGACCACCCCACACCTAAGACCATCCTTCCAGATTCCTCTAGGACCTGTTTCCCATGGCCTTCTTTCCCCTTGGCATCCTCAGATTCATTCCTTCCTCATTCTCTCATTCATTCCACAAACACTGCCTGAGCTGGCACCATGCTTAGGCACCGAGCATTCCATTGCAAGTGAATGGGCCATAGATCCTACCGACTTACACTCTAAGTGGGGAAACGAATGAGTGAAAGAAGAAAGGAATGAATTTGAGGGTGGCTGGGCTTTGATTCATTTCCTAAGTATTTACTGAGTTCCACACTCTGTGCTGGTGAACATGCTAGAACATAGGAGGCCCTTAGACATACCTTCTCTCCCAGGCCTGCTGCCCCTGGAAGTTCCACCCAGCTGTTTTCATTCTTTTCCTGGCCCAATCTCCCCAAAGTAAGTCTGTAGCTGGGGCTCCTGATCCTTTACCAACCCCAGTCTTCCTAACCCCTGAAATTGACCATTACTTTACCACACCACAAGACACAAGCTCTCAATACCCTCTGCGCCCACAGATCCCTGTCAGTCGCAATGTCTGTTTCTCTCTCCCCATCCTTTTGGACGTCTGAAGGGCTGGTCACCCTCCTGCTGGCCCCTTGTCCAGGCGCCTTTTTTCCCCTGGGACTTCCTCGTGGATGTAGAACATTCCTGGTCCCCTTTCCCCAAACATCATGGGCTTTCTCTCTTCTTAGACCCCATTCCTCCCTGATGGCCACTCAGCCTCCCAGGTCCACTTCGTATCTGCTGTGACCATGCTCAACTCTCTCCTCCTGAAGCTGCAGCCTCTCTGGAGTCCTGAGTGGTGCATTTGGTGCCTTAAGAGCATCCCCAAGAATGTCCTACCCACTACTCAAACCCGTCTCCATATATTCCCCTCCCCCACCCCCAAACATTTCCCTCCAACCCTCCTATTTCTCTCCAAGGCACCAACATCTCCCTGTAGCCCAGGTGTTTCTGTCATTGCCTTCTAGGCCCAGGCAGCTTAGCCTTAGACCTACACTTGGTCTTCTTCCAACCCCCATCTGTCCATCCTTTCCCCTTCATCATCCCTGATACACTCTTCCTCTTCTCCTTCCCCTCCTCCAGCCCCGCTTCTCCCCTCCTATTCACCATCCAAAAGCAACCACAGCCATCCTAGCCACCACCATCTGCCCCACTTTTTCAGCCCCCACACATCCCACTACTTCCCACCTGAGCCTTCTTGCCAGCCAGTTGGACCTCTGGGCCAGTTCCCAAATCAACTCAGGCCTATGCCCATGCCACACCCCCCACCACTCCTAAAACAACATTCTTTCCCTCTAGGCCTATGCAAATGCTTTTCATCTTTCTAAGCCCAGTTTAGATACCTCCTCCTGCAGGAAGCTTTCCCTGATCAGGCCTGCCTATGATCTTCCCTCCTCTAAACCGCCTCCCAACTGACTGTTCCCCTCCCCAGCTAGATGACAAATGCCCCTGCCCTTCTCCTCAAGCCAGTGCACACAGCAGGAACCCAATGAGAGGGGCTCCCTGAGGGTGAGGGCCACATCTGCATCTTCAACTCTCTCTAATCCTGATCTGCATCCTGCTCCCAGAAGGACTTTGGAGCTGGGAAAAGGCAAAAGCCAGACAGAACTGGCAGTGGCACTAGGGGACAGATAAGGTACCAGAAATGTGCCAATGTGTCTTGTTCCCTGCAGTGAGGATGGGAGTGGAGACACTCCTCCCTATCCTCAATGACATCCAGTAGAACCTGGAAAAGGGAGACAGGGACTGACGCAACCCCAGGTTTGACTGAAAGGCTGCTGATGGGATGTGCATCCCTCCCCTCAGTCCCTTTACCCAGGGGGACAATGGCTGAGTCTCAGAAGCCAATATGCATCAACCATGCAGGCACCTCACCAATGCAGAACTGTACACAGGCTGCTAGACCCAGAAAGCATGTTCTTACAGACAAGAAGCTCATACTTGGGTGGAGAGATGCATTCAGGACCCCGAGGTTCTGGGGGAGGTTTAAAAAGGAACCATCCCACCCGCTATAGAAGGAGACAGGTCCTGGTCCAGAGAGAGGTGCTGTGTCTCCTCTCTAAGCCCTACTGATGGCAGGAGAGATACCCAGGCACAGAGAGAGGAGGCCTCCAGCTCCAAGTCACCCAGCAAGCCATGGGGTGGAACAGGGAGGAAAGAGGTCAAAGGCTCCAGTTCTGGGCTCCATTCCTGCAGGCTGCAGGGACTGGGGACACATCGGACGCAGCTCACTGAGGCTCTCAAGGCCCGATCCTCTCTTAGAGTCCATATCACAGAGCTGCCGACGACCCTGGTCAGCATTTCATCTGCACCACAGGATGGACTCTTTCGGGCACAGAACAAGTCCCCAAGGCTATCCTCCTCTCCTTTCCTCCCAGAAGAGTTCTGCCCAAACAGCCTGAGTTAAAGAGGCTGGGCTCTCTCTGCCCCATCACATGCTCTCAATTTCCGGACTGCAGGCAGAGGTCTGGAGGCCAAGCCCCCACCCCTTTCCTTCCCAGGCTCCAGAAAAGGCCAACCGGAGCCACTGCCCCGAGGGACAGCTCCCCAACTCCTCCCCTTCTCTCTCTGCTTCAGATGCCTCCCAGAGTTGGAATGAGCCTGGGGGCATGGAGCACGGGGTCAGACCCCCTCCCCTGCCCGCTGGCCGCGGCCGCAGCCGCAGCCGGGAGCCCACTCACCTGCTCTCGCATCCTGTCCTGCTGGCCTCGCAGGGCCAGGGCGTGCTGCGGGTATTTGCTCTTCAGGTGGTCCATGAAAGCATCACGCTTGCGGTCGGCGTCCGCCTTCTGGAGCCCGCTGAGCGCCTCCAGACTCTGGGCCGCGATCACTGTGTGCCGCCGCTCGGACGTGTGCACCAGCCCCACGTTGGAGAAGCGCCGGCCCCCGCTGCCCCCGCCGCCCCCGCCCCCCAGGGTCCGGTACTCCCGCGGGTACTCGGCATCGTCCGCAGACAGCATGGGGGGGCTGCTCCGCTCCGGATCTGCGAGAGGTGAGAGGGGCATGGCGGGGTCACAGCGCGCCCGGCCTGGGGCTGCCCATCCCCCACCGGGGGTCCCTGCGGGGAAGGGCGGGGCCTGGGACTAAGGAGAGTGGAGAGGCGTCTGGCGCGAGGCAGAGGCTGCCCGGCACCCCACTAGGGACTGAAGGGGGAGGTGGGTGAATGGCGTGGAAAGTGAGCCCACGGCCCCCAGGGAGGGGTGAGGAACAAGGGCTGGATACTTCCTGTTCCTCCGTGGGTTTGGAGCGGTAATGACCGCGGGGAGAGTACCGCCCTTTGAGGCCAAGGGGAGGGGGCTTGGATGAAAGGGGTAGAAGGTATCCTGAGACCCTCTCCAGCCACACAACCCCCTCTCCTCCTAAAGCTGGTGTCAGCAGGTGAAGGAAGAAGGGGTGCTTTTTAGATGCTCCCTAAAAGACGTGAAAAGGAGCTCGTAGTCTTCCTTCGAGGTTGGGTAGGGGGAGCCCTGCCTCCTCCCTCAGACTAGCATATGTCCAGGACATACTTATGCTCAAGGCTGGGGGCCGGCTGGAAAAAGGGCCAGGGCGGGAGGGAACACATGGGGAGAATGAAGGCAAAAATCGCTCTGAGGTTTCCCATGCAGATGGAAGCCCAGGGTCTGGGGCAGTGGGACCCCTTTTCCCTTCCCTCCCCAGAGACAGACAGATAGACAGACAGGAGAGGCTGGGCACAGAGAGGACAGTGAGAGATGGATTTGGAACAAACTTAAAGGAGAAAGGAAGCAGACAGAACAGCTGAAGTCCTTCCCAGGGACTTTCCTCCCACCTCTCCCCTCCCTCCTTCAGTCTCTCCTCCTGACACAGACACAAGCTTAAGACCCATAAGAGACGTACAGCGGACAAAGGACAGCACAGAAGCGAAAGAAAGAGAAGGCCGGGGGTTGAGGTCCCACGCGGAACTCTGAATCCCCTTCCCAAATGCCCACCAGCCCTGAGGTCACCCTGCTGGCCCGCACTCTCCAGCCTCAACGACCAGTGGCCAGGGGTTCCAGAGGTCACCCCTGCCCTTGGGGGTGGAAGAAGTTGCTGGGGGCCTACCTCAGCCATATTCCTGGGCATAAAGCATAGATTTGTGCCCCTCAGAAGTCAGTCCACAGGGAGACAAGCACAGCCTCTCATGCACACCCCAGCGCCACAATCCACCAGCCCCACAATCCACCAGCCCCAAAGCAGCACTCCAAGTGTGGCCTCGGACTGGGGTATGAGGCGCTGCAGCAGACACATGCACTCCTGCCCGCTGTGTGGCCTGACTCACAGGGCTCCTCCAAGGGCAGACCAAGGCAACAGGGGACCCGGCTGGAAATGCTGGAAACCAGCCAGGTTTGCCACAAGCCTCCTCCCGCCAAGCATCCACTGTCAGGAGGTCTGTGGACAGCTGCCAGGTCTGCCACCCCCTGCCCAGCCACAGAGGAAAGAGGAGATTCAGCCAGGTTTCAAGAAAAGCCACCTGCCCCCAACACACACACACACACACACACCCCTCCCTGGGTGTGTTGGGGTGTGTCCATCAGGGGCACAGAGTCTGCGAGAACCCAGCACCTTGCACCGAACCAAGGGAAGAAGGGCTCCCATGGGCATGAGAGCCGCAGCTCACCAGGGGCTGACCACCTGCCTCATGGCTGCGTGCCTCCCTACACCCCATCAGGGGGGTGTTATCATGGTCCCCATTTCAGAAACGGCTACCGAGACTCAGAGAAGTCCACTGACAAGCCCAAAGCAACACTGAATGGTAGAGGTCTGATTTGATTTCAATATTTGTTACGTATGTGCCACCACACTCTCCGTGATGACTGTTTCTTGAGTGAACACTGACTGCACCACATGGCATGTGTGGACTTCCTCACTGACCTGCTGCTATCCCCATGATGGCCCTGGATCTGGGGTGGTCCCTCTCACCGTGGTCACCATCCTCTGTTGTGCTCCCCAAACTAAGGTCCAAGTACATGAGAGATGACTTTGGGAAGAACATTATTTTATGTCTTCTCTTCCTTCCTTCCTTTTTCTTTTTTTGGGGGGACAGGGTCTCACTCTGGCACTCAGCTTGAAGTGCAATGATGTGATCATAGCTCACTGCAGCTTCAAGTTCCTGGGTTCAAGAGATCCTCCCACTTCAGCCTCCCAAGCAGCTGGAACTACAGGTGCATGCCACCACGCCCAGTGAATTTTTTCCTTTTTTTAGAGATGGGGTCTTGCTATGTTGCCCAGGCTGGTCTCAACCTCCTGGGCTCAAGTGATTCTGCCACCTTGGCCTCCCGAAGTGCTGAGATTAAAAGTGTGAGCCACAGACCGGGCACAGTGACTCATGCCTGTAATTCCAGCACTTTGGGAGGCCGAGGCAGGTGGATCACGAGGTCAGGAGTTCGAGACCAGCCTGACCAACATAGTGAAACCCCGTCTCTACTAAAAATACAAAAAATTAGCTGGGCGTGATAGCGGATGCCTATAATCTCAGCCACTTGGAAGGCTGAGGCAGGAGAATTGCTTGAACCTGGGAGGCAGAAGTTGCAGTGAGTCGAGGTTGTGCCACTGCACTCCAACCTGGGAGAC